TGCTTCATAACGATATAATTTCTGGAATTTTACAGGGAATAAAGTAACGGTCCAAGAAAATTTCTTTTCGTCTTTAGCTACGCTTCTGCTTCTTGTTTTATAATTTTCAAAAATTCAACAAACCTTTGTGAAAAAACTTGGACTTTTTCTGACGCCGTTATGCGCCTTCATTTGTGAAAGAAAATTGCTGCCCCTCCCCCTTTCAATTCTAAGAAAATTGAACTTGAAATACTTATTGTTAGTATAGTAAAAAAATGAAGCGCATTACAACAAAACAGCATTTACGGTTTCCTCTAAGTTCTAAAAAAGCGAAAAATTGTCAGAAACCTGTGTACCTACAAATTATGAATTAATATTCATTCTGATCTGACAAACTACTACCGTGTCGAGAAATTATTACACTAAAATCTGTAAAAAGAAATTGCCTTTCAAGTCGTGTATTCCAGTTATTTTCAGTTCTGTTAAAACAATATTCTGAAAAACCTGGCTCTCAAAGTAGCGGTTTGTTTATTTTTGAAGTTCTTTTAGAGCATACAGTGTCTAAGTAATTCTCAAATTTCGGTTGAAATGCACCAAAAAATACTTATATCGGCGATAACTGCTACAATCAAAGTACAGTTTGAAGGATTTTTTGCTCTACCAACTATATCAATTTTTGCCTTGTAATTCTGGTAATTAGCTAAATAAAGGCGAAATTGCGAAATCATTTGTACTTCTCACCCCTTAGTCGAAAGCGAGATCACGAAAGTTCTCGTGTCGCACTTGATCTGCGCCACTTGTCTTCCGTTTCGAGTGCATTATGGTTAAAACAAAAGAAGCTTTTAGTCTGGTGTGTAAAAATAGCCCCAGTCGAGGAATACTGTCTCCTCGCAAACTCGCTAATGCTCAGCTGTTTCAGAGATTCGCCGGCGCTGGCCAACAACCTGCTACTAGCCAACGGTCTTTCGTGTCCCGCAGTATGATCGGAGAACCACCACCACCATCAGCACTACCTGGTCCTGACTGGATTGTGTGTGTGATGAAGAACTGACGGCGATGGTCCGCAGTACGCAATGTTTCGTCGGCGCCATGCTCGCTACCGTGCTCTTTCGTCGTCTCGGCAGAACCGCTTGGCAGTGGCTGCATAGATGACTACCGTGCTTTCGCCGTTCAGAACGGACACCTCGACTGCTTTCCTCATTTATTCCCA